GAACTGGACTACTGACTGGTGAACTTGACTACTGACTGGTGAACCGGACTACTGACTGGTGAACTGGACTACTGACTGGTGAACCGGTCTACTGACTGGTGAACCGGACTACTGACTGGTGAACTTGACTACTGACTGGTGAACCTGACTACTGACTGGAAAACCAGACTACTGACTGGTGAACTTGACTACTGACTGGTGAACTGGACTACTGACTGGTGAACCGGACTACTACTGACTGGTGAACCGGACTACTGACTGGTGAACCGGACTACTGACTGGTGAACTTGACTACTGACTGGTGAACCAGACTACTGACTGGTGAACCGGACTACTGACTGGTGAACCGGACTACTGACTGGTGAACCGGACTACTGACTGGTGAACTGGACTACTGACTGGTGAACTGGACTACTGACTGGTGAACCAGACTACTGACTGGTGAACTGGACTACTGACTGGTGAACTGGACTACTGACTGGTAAACCAGACTACTGACTGGTGAACTGGACTACTGACTGGTGAACTTGACTACTGACTGGTGAACCGGACTACTGACTGGTGAACTGGACTACTGACTGGTGAACCGGTCTACTGACTGGTGAACCGGACTACTGACTGGTGAACTTGACTACTGACTGGTGAACCTGACTACTGACTGGTAAACCAGACTACTGACTGGTGAACTTGACTACTGACTGGTGAACTGGACTACTGACTGGTGAACCGGACTACTACTGACTGGTGAACCGGACTACTGACTGGTGAACCGGACTACTGACTGGTGAACTTGACTACTGACTGGTGAACCGGACTACTGACTGGTGAACCTGACTACTGACTGGTGAACCAGACTACTGACTGGTGAACTGGACTACTGACTGGTGAACTGGACTACTGACTGGTGAACTTGACTACTGACTGGTGAACCGGACTACTACTGACTGGTGAACTGGACTACTGACTGGTGAACTTGACTACTGACTGGTGAACCGGACTACTACTGACTGGTGAACTGGACTACTGACTGGTGAACTTGACTACTGACTGGTGAACCGGACTACTGACTGGTGAACCGGACTACTGACTGGTGAACTGGACTACTGACTGGTGAACTGGACTACTGACTGGTGAACCAGACTACTGACTGGTGAACTGGACTACTGACTGGTGAACTGGACTACTGACTGGTAAACCAGACTACTGACTGGTGAACTGGACTACTGACTGGTGAACTTGACTACTGACTGGTGAACCGGACTACTGACTGGTGAACTGGACTACTGACTGGTGAACCGGTCTACTGACTGGTGAACCGGACTACTGACTGGTGAACTTGACTACTGACTGGTGAACCTGACTACTGACTGGTAAACCAGACTACTGACTGGTGAACTTGACAACTGACTGGTGAACTGGACTACTGACTGGTGAACCGGACTACTACTGACTGGTGAACCGGACTACTGACTGGTGAACCGGACTACTGACTGGTGAACTTGACTACTGACTGGTGAACCGGACTACTGACTGGTGAACCTGACTACTGACTGGTGAACCAGACTACTGACTGGTGAACCTGACTACTGACTGGTGAACCAGACTACTGACTGGTGAACCAGACTACTGACTGGTGAACCTGACTACTGACTGGTGAACCAGACTACTGACTGGTGAACTGGACTACTGACTGGTGAACTGGACTACTGACTGGTGAACCGGACTACTGACTGGTGAACCTGACTACTGACTGGTGAACCAGACTACTGACTGGTGAACTGGACTACTGACTGGTGAACCGGACTACTGACTGGTGAACCGGACTACTGACTGGTGAACTGGACTACTGACTGGTGAACCGGCCTACTGACTGGTGAACCGGACTACTGACTGGTGAACTGGACTACTACTGACTGGTGAACTGGACTACTACTGACTGGTGAACCGGACTACTACTGACTGGTGAACCGGACTACTGACTGGTAAACTGGACTACTACTGACTGGTGAACCGGACTACTACTGACTGGTGAAAAGGACTACTACTGACTGGTGAAAAGGACCACTACTCACTGGTGAACTGGACTGCTACTGACTGGTGAACTGGACTGCTACTGACTGGTGAAGTCTCTTCCCAACTTAACAGATGAATGGTTAGGAATGACATCAAGGTGAATAGTTGATCTCAGAGTTTTTATTTTAGGGTGCGCTGTGCCTTTAAGAGCTGGAGCGTACCATGCGTTCGTAGGGGTCGTCGGTCTGGGCTGCCTTGTCCAGCAGCTCGGAGTACTCGAGCTCCTCACACATGTGCTGCAGTGTGTTCAGGGGCTCGTTCAGCTCCACCGGCATCGACACCTTCGACAGGTCCTTCCCGATGTTGTTCTTCAGGATGTTCCACAGGTTGAGGTTGGACGTGTCAGGAGCGGGAGCGGGGAGACACGAGCGCCTGCCGTTACGAAACGCACCACTGGACAGATCCCCGTTAGGCACTGGGGGAGAAACAACACGTTACTCGTGGGATAACAGGACCATATCCTGGCTATCCGCCATCAGGGTTATTACAACAATAATAATCACTGCAGTGATGATCCAATCATAGACTCTGCATTTGCCATAGAAATAAGCATTTGCCTATTTAAATCCAGTTCCCTGTTTTTGGCCAGGTAGTGTATATATATACAGTATATATATATATATATATATATATATATATATATATATATGAAATATAGTTCATTATCTTTAAAATGTCCAAATGAAGAATGTCCCAGAAAAAATCTTTTAATTTCTTTGATTTTTAAATATTAAATTTGAGTTTGGTTTTGGAGTGAAATATGACCTCTTGATGTGTTCTGTAAAATTACCCCTGTTAGATATTATATATGTTTATAGTGACATTTCAACAGTTCTGTCAGGACCACTATCGTCAAATACAGTTGACAGTTAGCACACAGTTTGGATAGGCGGTTTGGTTACGTTAGCATGGAAAAGAGCAGCAATAACCCCCCAAAATAAAACCATAGGCCAATAACATCCCCTAAACCCAAATTTACAGCGCAAATCAGGCTGATTTTCTTTTTTTTCTTTTTGTTTTGCAGTTACCAGAGTGAGCCAAGGCAACAAGCCAGTAAACAATACCCGAAAAGCTGGAGCCAACAGCATGTTACCAACATTACCGTAAAGCATTTAGCAACAAACATTAGGCCTAAAGGCAAGTAAAGAGCATACTGTGAGCGGCACATATGAGGTGTGTCTGGGTGTTTCTCACTCATTTCTGCTCCGACGTCTTGATTGTGGCATTTCTTTGAGGTTTAGAATCCAGAATAACTCTTGCAATTTATTTTGTATGAATTTAATCTCTTATTAAGTCCAATCACACCGCGTCATCTACGGCAGGTGACTGTAAATGTGCAAAAACTGTTACCATTGCAGGTTTGCGAAATATTTATTTTTCGAATTGCCTAAAAAACCTCCTCATGCGAGTGTAAAAAAAAGTTTTTGCGAAAATGACGTGTTTCTTTTGTGCGTATTTTCAATTCACAACTTCATTTTGCGCAATTTAAAGGGTAATGGAAACGCGGCTAGTGATAGGCTGGATCAGCTGAGAGTCACTGAGGCGAGCTTGACTAACGTGACCTGCCAGAACTGACCCTACGCTCGATTGAGACATTTACATTACATACTGTAGATAATGTATTTGTGAGAGCGTTTGTCTTTCAGTTCATGTGTTTGAGTGTGTGTGTGTGTGTAAAGGTCATATGTCCCATCAGGACGGCTCTACTGAACAGAGAAAAGCGACGAGGAGGAGGGAGGCTGATCTCACTCTGTCTGGAAACGCTATCCGTGACGCTGGCGTTGTCCTCGGAGATATTATCACTCACATCGCTGACGTAAGACTCGTCATCAGAGGCCTGAGAGAGAGAGAGAGAGAGAGAGAGAGAGGGGAGGTAATGTTACTCAATGTCTCTCATTTTGCGCAGTGCTGAATAACTGTAAATTGTGTGTGTGTGTTGGGTGGGAGTGTGTGTGTGTATGTGTAATGACCTACTGCAGTGCAGTGTGCAAATATACAAATAAACACGGATGACACAGACAGATGATAAATCACAAACATAACTGACACATGCAATGATACACCCACGTTTGGATACATCAGTCATTCTTAATAATAATAATATAATCTTATATATGAATATTAGTCATCAAAACTAATAATAATATAATTCGTCAACGTTACAGTGAGAATTATCTTATAATTTACACTATCATTAAAAATATTGTGGTCGATAAGATTTTATAAAAATTATTTAATTAAAAGAATTAGAGTATCAGAAATATTGAGCAGCACGACTGTTTTCAACATTGATAATGATCATAAATGTTTCTTGATCATCGGATCATCATATTAGAGTGATTTCTGAAGGATTATGTGACACTGAAGACTGGAGTAATGATGCTGAAAATACAGTTTTGATCACAGGAATAAATTACACTTTACATATTCACATAGAAAACAGATGATTTTATATTTTAATAATATGTCCAAATTTTTATTGTATTTTTGATTAAAATAATCCAGCCTTGGAGAGCAGAAGAGTACGTTTTTCTTTTGAATACATTAAAAAAATCTTATCAACACCAAACTTTTGAACAGTAAAGCATGCAAGTGCAAGTTAATTGTATTGTATTTCACCTCAGCAGCAGCTGTCTTTGACATGAACACACACACACACACACACACCTCGTTCTCTGATGAACTGGCGGACAGAAGCACCTCTTGAGCGTCGAAGAACTCGGACACCGACTCCGACATGGAGAGCCGGCTCTCGTTAGACACTTGCTGAGAGAGAGGGATGCCCACGTGCAGCGGCTCCCCTACCTGCAGAACACACACACACACACACACAATATGTGTCGTGGATAGTGACAGTCTGTATTCTGTGCATAGTCCACCCAAAATAAAAATGACTGTGTGCAAAAATTCAACTTTACGGAGTTTTAGTGTCAGTACTACATTCAAGTAATATATATAATGTTGAATATCATAATAATGTAACGGGGGAATATGTGTGTGTCCTGATAAAAAGTGTCCGACAATATTTGACATATCTAGTCAGTGAAAAAGTGATAGCATATTAATCTAAAATATTTCTGTATTTTCAGCTTCAGAATCGTAAATATTGTTATTCTGGTGTCTCTATTGTCCTCATTTCTCACAAGTCCAAGACTATTCATTTGCACACCCATATAAGTCTTACCAAATTCAGCATTTGAATCATTAGTACATATTTTGTCAACCTTTTATCATATGGCTAGGAGTTTTGGAATAATATCATATCGTGATTTAAATATTGTGATATGTATCGTGACACCCCTAATTACAGATATTGCAATCTCACCAGATTTCTGTATAATCACAGGGGAGGCACAAACCAAAACCAAACATAACTATATTTAGGCAAATAAACTTGCTGCTGCATCCTTGACACAAACTACAAAGTTGGTTACACTTTATTTTACCGTGCGTGTACTTACCTAAGAAAGTACTGGGTAATATAATGCAACTACATGGGTTCAGGTTAGATTTAGGTGTATGTTCAGGGTTAGGACCTAGTATTGTAATTGCTCCAACAAGTACATACTGTAGTGTGAGCGAGGGGAACAGGACTGTAAAATAAACCTCATGTGATGATCACAGAATCGCACAGATCTGCCATTTATCACAGACAGCCACTCGTGTTCAAGGCCAAAGCACAGAGACATACGACCCGATGTAAGCAACACGAAAGCCTGACGGATTTAAGTCTTGTGGAAAGCGAGAGCCTTGAAACACGTCTGTTGCCAATAGTTAAACACATGGTTGATCAGCATGGCCAGATCTCGCGGGACTCATTACGTCCAATGATTGCTCTGTTCGCTTGTGTTGCAGCCAATGTGTACGAGGCCGGAGAACAGTGTCGCTTTCCATCTGATTCAGCCTTTACATTTACAGCTTCAAAAGTGAGTAGCTTTTTATAACCCTATAATTAACAGTTTTCTCAATTGAAAACGTTATTTTGTTCTGTCCTGACCAGCCGTTCGTTCAACGACTAAACAATTTCCGAGCCGCAGTGCTAATGAGTAATATCTGACCTCGTTGGGACTGCTGATGATGTTCACACTGACGACCTGCTCGGACAGAACCGACTCCGAGTGGATCCGGTTCAGACGGGTCTTCAGCTCAGCATTCTGGGATATGGCCTAAACAAGAGTCACACAGAACAAATGAGCAGATCAGTGTATGAAGGGTGGAAACATATGGGTATTGAGACATGCATTTACACTAAATTAATAATTTTGTATAAAAAAACCCCTCCTTTTTTATGGTTTAGAGCAGAGGTCGGCAAGTAAATTTTTTTTTACTATGCCAGAATATTGTCAAAGGATCATTTAAGAAAGTAATTGATGAAAAATGCAACTAGACAGACTGTTAGTGTCTTTTTTAACGGGTAGAAAGCTGTTACTGTAGTAGGACAGTAAACTTAAAGGAGTAGTTCACTTTTGAAAAAAACTTTTGCTGATAATTTACTCATCCCCATGTCATCCAAGATATCCATGTCATTCTTTCTTTAGTCGAAAAGAAATTAAGGTTTTTGATGAAAACATTCCAGGATTTTCTCCATATAATGGACTTCAATGGGGTCCAAACGGTTCAAGGTCCAAATGAGAGTTTCAGTGCAGCTTCAAAGGGCTTTAAACGAGTCAATTTGTTCATTTCGTTCGTTGAATCAACCAATTGACTCGGAAAAAGGTTCGTTCATTTTGATGAACGAGTTCGAACAGGAGAGTCACAAACGTGCATCACAGACAAAGGCGAGCATTTGAGCTTATAAAACTTAAACTTTGTTATTTATTTATTAAATGAGTGATCTTTTCGCTTGATAAGACCCTTATTCATCGTCTGGAATCGTTTAAAGCCCTTTGAACAGTTTGCATTTTGCACTGAAACTGTCTTTTGGGCCGTTTGGACCCCATTGAAGTCCATTATATGGAGAAAAATCCTGGAATGTTTTCATCAAAACCTTAATTTCTTTTCGACTGAAGAAAGAAAGACATGGACATCTTGGATGACATGGGGGTGAGTAAATTATCAGCAAAAGCACTTTTTTCAAAAGTGAACAACTCCTTTAAAAGCTACATGTGTGGCGGTGTCATGGTTTTACACTGGATACATTAATAAAGCTATTAATAACCTGTCAAGTGTCTTCTAACTCAGAGCGCTTTCCTAAAACACACATACAATATGTGGGAGATGCGGAATGGATAAAAATAAAAGAGGACTTGAATAAGACCATTAATGGCACGTTTGAGAAAATATGATTTATTTCCTCTTTCCATATTGTGAATAATACATGTGTATCATTTTAATTTCCTCGTTACACAATGGAGCCTAACTTATTGTAATAAATTTGACGTAGCCTAATTTTACACTCAGAATTATTCATTGGCATCCTCACATACTGCATTTTTTTAAATCGTTTGCGTGCTAGAGGTACACTGTTACGTCGTGTGCAGATGATGTTAACATTTAAGCTAGCTAGCGAGAGATAATGGCACTATCAAACAGTCTAAAGAGGAAAGTTGACAGTGGAAATACAGCATGCAAAAACCAATGGAAAGACAACTATGCATTCGTTCAACCTAGTGATGTCAATGCAGAGGCGGTGTGTCTAATCTTGCAACGAAGCGATCCACAGACTCTTTTTAATGTCTTTCAGGACGTTTTTAATTAAGCTCTTAAAATTAAAACACTGCTGCAAAAACATTCTCGTACTTTTATTTTGAAGGCAAAATCACTAAAGAAGTTTTGTGAATAACTGTTGACCCCAAACTTTGTTAAATAATGCCATGACATGAAGTTTTACAAAAACAAAGCAATGATGAAGTCACATGTTGGTGTTAAAATACATACTACACCAATAAAAGTGTTAGTCAGTGTTAGTCTTGCTGTTTTGCCTGATTATAACAGTGACAGAGAGTGGTGGGCGGAGCAAACCTGTGACAGGGAGCGGCGGAGGGTCATAATCTGATTTGATTGGCCGGTTTGCTCCTGTTCCGACAACACCTGTTTAATCTTCTCTTTCTCTATGGCCACTGTGTTGAAGGCAGACTTCAGAAGAGAGTGCACTGCAACACACACACACACACACAAGATCATGCTGAGTGCTTACAAACTGCGCCAGGCTTTGTCTCTGGGTCAAAACCCTGCAATATCCCTCAAGAACAGCTGTGCATCTTTTGTTTCTCGGTGAGCAAAGGTCCTTGCACACGGAGTCCGAAATTTTCCTAAGCGTCTTTCTTCGTATTCGTCATTCGGTGGCTCTGAATTGTCAAAAAACCTCTCAAAATGCTTGATACGGATGCGAAAAACGCTGAAAATCAAACCCGATCTGAATTTTTTACCTACGTTTTGGATGTATTTGGTATTTATTTATTTAACATGTGAAAATTTCGGACCTTAGGTATACAGTTTGGTGCAAGGACCTTAACTGACATGAAAATATATATAATTGGTCCTGGCTACATAATGCTAATGGTCTAGTGCACTTCAATGATGTATGCTAAGCTATGCTAAAAGTGGTACCGCCAGAACCGGAGATCGGCCGAATGGATTCAAAAAAGATAAAACTCAACCGTTTAACTCTGGAGGAGTTGTAAAATGAGCAGATTTTCAAAAAAAGTGGAGTATCCCTTTAACTGACATGAAAATATATGTGATTGGTCCTGGCTACATAATCAAAACAATCCTTTTTAGGCCCACAGTTATAACACTGTTTTTATCTTTAATTACACTAACTTTACAATTAACTAAACCGTTAATGAGCTCAGCTCACAGATGTAGAAAGTTCATCGCCAGTAAATTTATTAGACTCTTCAGACTTGTGATTCTTTATGAACAATTCACTCAAAGAACCGACTCATAAGATTGGTTCATTCCCACAAAAAAACATAAAAAACACGTTTTCTTTGTAATAGTTCAATGTAAATTCGGTGACTTGCAGTGAAAACACTGGCTTGAAGGTTTTGTTCACCTTTCTGTGCAATGACGCAGAAGTCCTCCTGCAGTTTGATGTAGTCACTGGCGTTGTCGATACTGTCAGTCAGACGTGTGACGGGGGTTTGAAAATCCGCCAACTCCGCACATAGGTTAGGATTAGAGGAGTGGAGACGCACTTGAGACATACTTGCACTCAGGGGAACCTGAAACACACACACAAACTAGAAGTAATCCCAGGATAACCAGCAACAGGGGCTTGGGGAACAAGGCAGGCCAACACTCTTCCTCTCAAAGAACAGCGATTCCTTCGACTGATGAAAAACCAGACGTAGTCTAGTTGAGTTAGGCTTTAGAAGAGAGTTCACAGACACAAAAACACACATGCCAAGCAGTGTAAAGGTCAACGGTGAAATGAGGTTAGTTCATGCATCAAAACCATCAACACATGAGCATGTGTTAATGTGTTAGCATAAGCTCAAATCATCAAAACAACAATCATAAAGTCACACTAGGTCAACACAGCCATACTGTATGTACGAGTGTGTTGAAAGTTGGATTGAGTCAGAACAAAACCCTATTATTCAGAGCTGCTGACATCCATTTTATTGTTAAAGCATTGAACTCTTTTTTACTGTATAAAATGTATGCTTTGAATTTGAGGATGTAGATACATCTGCAATATTTCGGGTCGACTCATTATGGTACATACAACTGTTAGGCCATGTGACGCCATGAATACTGTTTCAAGCCTCTGCGATAACTGGTCATGAGCACTAGCCTATTCATTTACTGCAAAACTTTAAGCTAATCTTTTAAAAACTCATGGTGTACACTACAGTCTACATAGCCTGGCTCCGCCTTCCTACGTACTTCCGCTCAATTTTCATATTTCGTCAGTACTACGTCTGGGATTGTGGTGTATTCTTTGGTTTTCTCCAGTCAATATTTTACTGGTCCAATCAGCGAACAGAGGGAGTGGCTGAGAACGATGACGTTGTTGTCGTGCGCTAGTGTGAATCATCATACGTCACGACCAAACGTTAGCAATTAGTTAAGGCAGATCCAGAGTGACTTTAAGTAGATCCAATAGTTTTAGACTTCAACAGAGTACCCGCCTACAACAAGGAAGTTAACGCTTGTCAATGGAGCGAGGCCAGAGTCTCTGTACAAATGCAGACTGATCACATGAAATTGCGTGTGTATGACACGGCAATTTGTATTTCCATTTTTGGCGTGCTATCAACACGCATAATCGTTTTACAGCGTGTTTACGAACGCCATTGACGTAACGTTATTACTGTATATATACGTAAATATATGACCAACCCCGTCCCTAAACCTACCCGTCACTGGGGTTAATACCATTTATGAGTCTTCTCCTACCATCCTAGGAAAAAAAATATCGCTCCCCAGATGTAGATCTACATTTTGCTTCGTTTCGCTCGGACATTTAACGGCGTGTACATACACGCGGAATCACTCGGACATTAATGGCATATTAAAGGTAGAATACCTAAGATTTTTGCCAGTGTTATATATTTAGTTAAGATGATAACTTACAATATTCCAAATGTTTCAGACAATGTTTAAATCGCGAGAAAATTGAGATTTTAACCAAGGAAACGGGGTGAGCTGGGAGTCGCCAGTCAATCGCGTCATCTCCGCGTTACCTCGGTTTCCACTCGTACTGCATGTAGTCCGGGACAAATGCGGAAGTTGTAGTTGTGCGTTAGCGTCTATCAAGCAACAAACGTCAGCTTGTTTCGCGCATTTGTTATGGAATGGAGCACAATTATTCTTTAGCGATTGCACCTGGTTCTGTCGACAAAGACAAGTCTCATAAACGCAAACGTCAACGAACGGGTCAAACAAACGACCCAAGAACAATTTGAGACAAGAGAAATAAAACCAGTGTGGCATTTCCTAAATGGAGAGAACTTGGTGAAAAACTCGAACTAGAAAGAGACGCCGATCTTGCATGTGTTTTACTTGACAGGTGAGTAACACCGTGTTCTGTATTCAAATTTCATGTCAGTAAATCATGCAAAACAATTAGTATTATTGTTAGAATGTCTTGTTGTCTATGCATATGATGTGAAAAATCGTGAGGTCATATTCACCGCGAATACTGTCGGCTGTATCTTAGAAAACGACGTTTATCTGAAAAGTGTTTCAACCGTCCCGGCTCTCCCCTAACATCTGTGATAACTAATTAACTTTTAAACCTGACTTTTCTTGCGGTTATTTCAGTTTAATGAAAAACAAGCATGTCATTAAACGCAACAGTTATAGAAATTGAACTTTACCACATCCATGACAACTAATTTTCGATTCCCGTCTGACTGATTTATCCACGGTGGAGTTGAAAACAACAGTTCCCATCATTCCGCGTTCCTCCACGGCGTCATCAAGCAAAGCCGTTGTTGTTGTTTTGAATGTAGCGCCCTCTAGCGGCATAAAATCTTAGGTATTGCAGCTTTAATACACGCGGATAGCTCAAAATGCGGATAGATAACGCCACTTGACTTGAAAGTGGCGTGTATGTTTACGCAAAAGTAATGATGTCATGTTGACAAAGGAAATGTACGAGAGTTAGGCTAAGGTCTACAGGCTTACAGTGATATTTCGGTAAACAAGCGGATACTACAATGCCTTTCGGTCATTGGTTAGTGCACTAGGACACTGGTTACCAACCCCGGTCCTCCTGGACCACACATCTCTGGACATACTGTAAGGTTATCTAAATCAAAGCACATCTGAATCAACTCTTCAGCTTGCTAGTAGACTCCAAAACCTCAAACTGGTTTGGCAAACAAGGGAGATCTAAGGTGTGTAGTATTGGGGGTTATCAAGTACCAGGGTTGGAAGCCCCTGCATAGACTTTTCCAATTGTGGAATCAACACATTTTCGTTGTTTTTCAAGCTAGATTACCCCAGCAGAGACAGATAAATATAGTTACCATATATTTGGCTCTCAAGCTTGAAGACTAGGTAATAAAAATACTTTTTTGTAGTGGTTTTTACTACTTTACCAAGTTCACAAAGTTCTGTGCTCCCTCGAGGTCCAGTGTTCTGGTGTATCTTTAGTTTATTAGGACTGAGTTCGGACTCCCTCTAGCCCCATGCATCTTTACCAAATGTGTTTGACTCTTTCACGTTGTTTTTTAAGGGCACACTTACAAGCATTATGGATGGTCTAAACCTAGAAAAGCCTCTCTTGCTCAAAGTAAATTGTGTTCATGTGGCTGCACTTGGATCCTTATCAAGCATCCGCATTGCAACAGAAGAGGATAAGATTTCAGAATAGCTTGAACCAATTCAGTCTGAGGACACTGGTGTCCTTTTGTCTTTGTCTGAGGCTATTAAATACTGGCAATGGCAGTGGAATAATTACTTCTTTGGGAGATTTATTTGAAGTCGAATCCCTCCAGATATTTATGCAGATAAAACTCGATGCTTGATGCTTACAGTACTGCACATCTGGAAGAACAAAAAGTCTCTCGATGGGATGTCTCTCGACCACAAGGTTCATCACTACAGACACAATTATTCATGAATGGAGAGTAGTCATTAAGGATCAGACAATAGATGGGACATGACATCTTGTTGGGATTTTCCAATGGTTGAAATCTCTTCCATGAGATTGATACTTATTTCTGGGCCTGTCGAAGGCACAAGTCTAGATTTGTTGGGAGAGAGGATATTTGGATGTAACAGTGTAGATTTGGAAAAGATAAGGCCTACAACGGTCATAGATAGGTTCACCTCAAAAGAAAATGCAGTGTCTGCTGTCCATTTTACTAAGAGAACCAGACATACTACTAGACACTGACACACCTGAGTCCAGTCTGCTTTATACATTTCTACCCGTCAGACCGTATCCTCCCACTCTGAAAATATCATATTGAGTTGGAGAGTTGGCTCGGCTATGGCTGGGGAATCTATGGTCATCGGCAATGTATGATGATAAAAGAGATTTCATTTCTGGTATGATGGGAATTATTTCATCCCAAATATTTAATACCCACTGCATCAAACTGGTTTTTGCTAGTTTGGAATTTGAAATCCCAGCTTTTCATCATTCCCCATTCAGCTCTGGGGAGAGATATGCTGTAGAGATATGGCCAGTGCACTATGAGCAGTCCTTCGTTTTCAGATCCAGCAATTTGTCTTGCTGGTTAGGGCAGTCCAAACTCTGGCCTGGGGATGAATTTCAAATGGCCCGCAGCTGGTCTATTAAAATAAATGTTGCCCGCCAGGCATAATTTAAAAAATCATGCAGTCTCACAATGTCAACACACGGTGAAAGCACTAGATTTTAGGCCTGGTGTAAACAATGAGTGACAACAATTTGATAACTGACAAGCACTGCAAATTTCTGTTGCATATGGCCCAAAAAGCTAGCCTAGATGCCAGCCGAACAACATTTGAGGATGGGAAGTTCGGTATGGACTTGATCCGTTGTGAAGCAAGTATGCCCGAACCAAAGCTGTTCGGACCAATCATATTATCAGGGCGGGCTTTATACGATGATGATGGACAGACGATCAGCCGTAACGTAATCATCTACGTCACCAAAAGAGCGCATGGGTTTAATTAGTTTACAACAAAGATGGCCGCCACTGGAGAACTAAGAGTGTGTAGATTCAGCCATTGCATCTGTTATAGAAGATGTAAACAGCGCATTCATTTTACAAGAGGAAAAGAGAACCGCGATCAAGGCATTTGTCGATCTGAAAGATGTTTTTGCCGTCCTTCCTACGGGATTCGGTCGATCCAATTGAGTGCAGAGGCATTTTTTTCCTGGTTCGGTTGACACACCCCATAATCACAGCCCAATGGATCCGTATCAGACTCACACTCTCACTAGAGTCTGAGTATGACGACGTCAGGCTACCAAAAAACAGCACAAGCTCAGAACCTGTTGACTCGCTGACCGATGTGACCACTAAACAGCGCAGGGAGAAGCGTTCGAGTTTGGGACAGAGGTTTCCCAATACAAACCACAAATGTCTCGGTACTGAAACTAGTTTAAAGCCAGACGAAACAGCGCTGACATTCTCAACAACACTCATGAGGGAAACAGGAGAAGCATTGTGTGACAACAATTCAATCCACAAATCATCAACATTTACCATGGATTTACTGAAGTAACACTACTATCCGTGGCAGAAATGAGCTATGCAGGAGCTATTCATATCGAATTGTATTATATTATTACTATACAGTATATACATTATTAACGTAGACATATTAAATGTATGAAAGGAGTAATGAAATATAGGTCAAATTAAAGACACTTTTTAATTTATTATAAGTTTTATGAATTTGTATTTATACTAAATGTGTTTATATGTGTTTAAATGTGCCTAATGAGTGCACAAATTCAAACAAAAAGCTTGCCACAGCGCACCAGTAAAAGATTTTTTTATATATTTTATAAAATATTTTAATAATGTTTTGGTAATGTTTTCTGTTTTCGGCTGCACGATTAACTCAACGATGCTGACTCGTCATCTCCGCCTATGTGCTCGTTTCAGACGGATTACATAATCGGAGAATATTTATTTTCCATTGGAATCTGTTCATTCAAATGTAAAAAATAAAAAAGCCACTTTTTCGAGTTTTTTTTTTTCTGGGACTAAACAACTGATAAAATGTAGGTCAACTAAGCCTAAGACTAACGGTTAGTCAACTATTAGGGGGAAACCCTAATATTTATATATATATATATATATATATATATATGAAGAGTTCAGATGCAAAAGCCTCTAAGTGCCATTTGAAATTTTCTTCTAAAATGATAATTTTTATCAAGCTAGTATATTTAAGTTCAGTAATTTCACTTAAATGGCAATGAAGATTACCTATTAATTGTCATTTAAGTGAAATTACTGAACTTAAATATACTAGCTTGATAAAAATGGTCATTTTTGAAGAAAATTTCAAATGGCATTTAGAGGCTTTTGCATCTGAACTCTTCATATATATATATATATATATATATAATAATAAAAAAATATATATACATATATATATATATATATATATATATATATATATATATATATATGGCCCCTTTTAAAAAAAATGGGTTAGGGGAAGCAATCAAGTACTGTAAATTAAGAGACATCCAGGGGTCAGAGGTCATTCTTCCTCCTCAATAGACGATCAGGTGAAATCATTAAAGCCTATACAGTGCTAGAAGCAGCGTCTTGAAAATTACTCACCCTCTTGTTGTCTCATACATGCATGACTTTTTAGGAATGTAGATGTGTTGGTGACCTTAGAAAGTTGACTAAATGAGAACTACGAGTTAGTTACAATTGTAACCACAGTTCACTGAGAAACGTCACACAAAATGGCCTCCTTGTCCTCGGCTTACAGAAGAGCAGGTTTTGAACGAGTTACTGGCCTAATGTTTGAATTGAGGGCTTTATGAACTGTCAAACAGATGAGAGTCTACACCGTCCTATACCATACTCAGGGAACTTGGGTTACAACCATAACGTTGAGCTATTTCTAAAAAGGTCACACTGAGGGGGTGTTTTGCAGAGGGAATGTAAAGCAGCACTGCATGCAAAGGTTGGAGAGACTACAGCATGGTTATGTCATGGTGTAGTACGAAGATAACACTGAAGTGAGGGTTCTGCTTACTTTAGCACTGTGTGACTGGGAAAGTGACTGGACCTGGGGGTGAACACAAGAGCCAGACACATATTTAACCGGAGTTACTCACACACACGTCTCATTAACAGATAAGCATGCCAGCATCACCGAAAACCATTTCCGATTCATTGCAGCTGACCTTACTAAGGAATGAAAAAGAGCATTTGTGGATTTGTTGATTATATATTAGAAAATTATTTTGCCTTGTCCCTCAGTTTAAAAAAAAAAATTACAATGGAAGTCTGGGGCAGAATTAAATGTCTTGTATCTTACATTAAACCTGTGTTTGTTAGTCTTAATTAATGATCCAAATAAATGAATTCCAACAAAAGCAACATTTATGAGGGAATAAAACAGAAACGGCCTGCCCCATTCACTCGCATGCTTCTCTCGTCTATAGCGATCCATTACAAACGCACAAAGTCCTTTAAACGATGGCTGATATGCCGTTTAAATGGTTTATAATGGAACCACTGAGTCAAATGTCAGGCCTTCAGAGCGTTTCGGCAGGCGGTCCCCTACGATGCGATGGCTCTGGTTAAGCACTGTGATAATGAGGTTGTTCAGAGGGCAAGTGGTCATGCGTGTGAAGGTTGAGGAAACGTACACACACTAAACTCTCTCAGCTGCATTAAAACTGTGTGGCGAACTCACTTAACAACGAACTCACTTCTGCATGCATGCAACCACTCTTGAGATTTTAAATGGATTCAGGAGCAATGCTGTAAAGTATAATGTGCAGTCTCAGTAAAGTGAGCCAGATTGTGGTAGTCTGCTATTTCCTCTAAAACTCACGTTATAGTAAGATTAGTGATTTCAAGCAAACTGCATTTAGCACAGATTGTTTGGCTGTGATGGCACCATTACCTGATTTGCGTAATTCCAGTGAAATTAAAGGAGTAAAAAACTTTTGCTGATAATTTACTCACCCCCATGTCATCCAAGATGTCCATGTCTTTCTTTCTTCAGTCGAAAAGAAATTAAGGTTTTTGATGAAAACGTTCCAGGATTTTTATCCATATAATGGACTTTAATGGGAACCAAACGGTTCAAGGTCCAAAAGACAGTTTCAGTACCAAACTGCAAACTGTTCAAAGGGCTTTAAACGACACCAGGCAATGAATAAGGGTCTTATCAAGCGAAACTATCGCTCATTTAATAAATAAATAACAAAGTTTAAGTTTTATAAGCTCAAACACTCGCCTTGCTCTGTTCTGTGACGCACATTCGTGACTCTCCTGTTCGAACTCGTTCATCAAAATGAACAAATGTTTTTCGTTTGTTAAATGAACCAAATGACTCGAAAAAAGATTTGTTCAATTTGATGAACGAGTTCGAACAGGAAAGTCATGAATGTGCACCACAGAACAGAGCAAGGCGAGCATTTGAGCTTATAAAACTTAAACTTTGTTATTTTATTTTTTTTGGTGTCGTTTAAAGCCCTTTGAACAGTTTGCAGTTTGTACTGAAACTGTCTTTTGGACCTTGAACCGTTTGGTTCCCATTGAAGTCCATTATATGGAGAAAAATCCTGGAATGTTTTCATCAAAAACCTTAATTTCTTTTCGACTGAAGAAAGAAAGACATGGACATCTTGGATGACATGGGGGTGAGTAAATTATCAGCAAATGTTTTTTTTTTAAAAGTGAACTACTCCTTTAATGCTAAAATGATGCAGACAATAGCTACGTTTCCATTATAGATTTAAGATATATTTCTAAATGTTGATTTAAAAAAAAAAAAAACGATTGCAAAATGATGTCATTTCCATTAACCGATGTTATGCGAATAAAACGTCATTTAAAAAAAAAAGTCATTCTAAAAATCATGGCAACGGATGTTAGTAGGTTAATGTATATCGCAGCCACCGCACTATCCATTATTTTCTGATGGAAGGAGCCGTAGGATTGTATCCAAAGGCGAGAAAAGACCTTTATACTTGTGAGCGGCTCATATGAGGTGTTTCTCCCTCCTTCTGCTTCAAGCTCTTGAGAAATTGTGTATAATTCCTGTAATACATTGTCTTTTATGAGTTTAATAAAGAACTCGGGGTAACACTTTACTTGAAGGGGTGTGCATAAGACTGACATGACACATGTTATGAATATGTAGGAGGTTTTATGCATGTTTATGACAACTGTCATTAAGTGTCATTCGCTCAATTATGACATTGACATTGTTTAAGATGTCTTTGTTATGACACCCTGACATAAACCAATACATCATAACCTGTCAGTGTCTTGGTAATGATAACTTTACCAAGACAACTTAAATTGTCATAAATATGTCATAAATGTGGCATAGCAGATTAATTATCAAACTTAAGAAAGCACTTAGCTTTATGGGTTAACATTACATTAAACTGTCAGGTGGTTGGTTTTGACATTGGCTGTCATGAGGCCATTATAACCTTTTAATGACAAATTCAATGTGTACCACTGTAGTTGAGGTCACGAAAAATATTCCTGACACAGTTATAATGCCTCATGACAGCCAATGTTAAAACCAACCACATGACAGTTTAATGTAATGTTAGCCAATAAAGCTAAGTGCTTTCTTAACCCTTAAACTGTCACTGTCCCGGTACCGGGACGCCTACATTTACTTCACTATATTTCTATTAAATCATAATCTAATTATGACAAATAATATATCGTTGGAAAGGTCTAAGACTTCTAAATAGATATTCTACCCCTGTTTTGTGTTAAAAATTATGTAGGAAGAGTAATTGATGAATTTATGACAAGAATGTACCTCAAAAAATCTGCATCATAACAGGAGTTTTGACCTTTGTCACAAAAAGTCGATGCACCCACTTTTAATCATTGAAACTTCTGTTTTTATGCTAAAAGTTCATAATAAAACATATAATCTAGTATTTTTCAATAAAAAATAAAAAATAATAGTATAATATTATCCTCTAAAAATTATAATATATATATTTATTATCCTCTAAAATATAATATTATTTTTTATCGCCTTTTTTATTATATCACATATTTTAGTAGTTATCATAAATTAGGTATCATTTGAAAGCTTATAAACCCAGAATTCATCGTGTTAAAAGTGTTTTATAATTGAACGTTGCGATACCATAGAAACAGTACTTATTTTATCAGGCTCCTCCCCTATTGGGCGTCATTATATTTCATAATTTATGATCAAAACCTTTTCTAATCTTGACAAAACTGATATTGTGAGAAAGGTCAGAGTCTCAAGGTTCCAAATTTTGTGACAGAATTGATATTTGGACAGAAATGTATTAATTTGTTAAGGCAGAATGTATACAACTAAATTCAATGGAATTCAATGGCACCCGGTGGCTATTTTTGGTACTACGCCTAAACAAAATCTCATGGGAACTTAAATTTTTGTGATATCAACTTCAAATTTGGAACATAACTTGATAAGATTCATGGCTTTGATTTTATGGAAATTTTAGAGTAAAAAATATTTTGTAAAATATATATTTTATATAAAATAAAAAATATATAATACAGTATATCTGATTTACTGTAAGTTTAAACTTCCATAACTTTTTCATACTTTCATTTTTTGAAGCATTTTCACTTTAGCAATATTCTGCTGAGTGTTTTCTTTAAAACAAGACCAAACTTGGGTATATTCCAAAGCATTCTTAAATTACAACCATTTAAGTTTGAATAGTGCATTTTTTTCAAAAAGGGGGGTGACAGCTAAGGGGTTAAGTTTGACAAATAATCTGCTATGCCACGTTTATGACATATTTATGACAATTTAAGTTGTCTGGGTAATGTCAAGTTGTCATAACAAAGACATCTCAAACAATGTCATATTTGCATTCAAAATGTCATAATTGAGCGATTGACACTTAATGACAGTTGTCATAAACATACCTCCTTCATATTCATGACATGTGTTATGTGTAAAGTGTCATGTCAGTCTTATGCACACCCTTTCAAGAAAAAAAGTGTTACCAAACTCAGTTTCATCTTCTGTCAAAACATACAGCGCGTCCTTTAAAGAATGATCGACTGTTACGTAGGTCATGTGACTGTAAATGGGGAAAAAACGATTGCAGTTTTGCGAAATATTTCTTTTTCGAATTGCCTGAAAAACCACCTCAAGTGAGCGTAAAAACTATTTTGCGATATATGGGAGGTTTTGCGAAATTGGGCGTATTTTCAATTCACGATTTCAATTTGTGTAATTTGAGTGTGAATGGAAACGCTAGTGTAGAGCTGCACGATTCTGGATAAATTGAGAATAACGATTTTTTTTGTTTCGAAAAGAGAGATTGTGAATCTTACACAATTTTGAACAGACAATTAAACAAAATAACACGTAATTTACTAGAGTTTGCTGCCGTCTATTTAAAAAAAGTTGAATTATCTGAATGAATTATTTAACAAAAAAACTCGGTTTGAGTGAATGATTCAATGAGTCACTCAGAAAGACTTCATTTGCTTCATTACTGAATCAATCAGTGTTTTTGAATTCAATTCTTGAATGATTCAATGGCAAACACACGTTTAACAGCCACTTGTCGCCACCTAGTAATGATGTAATTGATACAATCTTTATTTGAATACTTCAAAAGGTGATTTGCACTATTTTGGCCGCTAACATCAGTGTTTATATCCGAACTATAAACTTTTATCCCAATCCTTCTCTGATCATTTAAACATTTGTAACAGAAATAATGATTCTGTGCGGCTGAACACACAGTTTGTGAAACTTTTTTACACCTAAGCATGACAACTCTCTTTGGATCTTGAATTGTGAACGGGATTAATCGTGCAGCTCTAAGGCTAGCAGTGTGTGTGTGTGTGTGTGTGTGTGTGTGTGTGTTGAAGATGTACCTGCTGTTGCAATTTTGCATCTTTGCTGACACTTTTAGTCCTCCATCTTCTGCTGACACGCTTTTCTTTCTTTGTCAAATCTACACAGTTACTCTAAATGACATGGACACACACACACACACACACAGCAAAGGGGTGAGAGGGTTAATAGCAGAAAACTGAAGCAATGACTCCATCGCTGTGGCAAAAGAAGATGAGATGCTGTAAACGAGCAGGCTGGGTCTCCGTATGCAGATGTAATGATGGGAATAAGTGCAAACAGATGAAGGAGGAATCATAATGTTGTGTTTGAGGAGTTGAATTTAGTTTGAGTAAAAAATACTATATATATTATGATAAACAGAGCTGCATTTTCAACTAATTCCCATATTTCATCAGATATCTGGCACAGATCAGAGATTCAAGATACTTTCTTAATTCTGAATGTTTCATCATCGTTATGAGAAAGTCTTAGCTTGGTCTGAAAGATATCTTGCATCTGCATGTTAAATGTCATATTACGAGGGTTTGCAAGCAGTGTTGGGGAAAATAATGCACTACAATATTGCGTTACTCCCAAAAAAAGTAACTAATTGCCTTAGTTACACACACTTTATGAAAAGTAATGCGTTACATTATTTCTGTGTTACTTTTTCTCACCTGGGCTGGGCTTGCTTGGTTGTTTTTTTATAACATCAAAAAAGTTATATTTTTGGCAAATGTTAAGACCTCAGGCTGAAGGAAGTGCATATTTACGCGTGTACAAACAAACCTCTCAGCTGTTATCATATCTGGATTACAGAACAACAGGAGACAGGACAAGGGACTTCAACACCCTTATTTCTAAATCTAATCTAAAGTCATTTTTGCTTATTAGTACGGTTGAATGTCAGCAAAGACATTGGTTAATAAAGTGAGATTAAATACATAAAGTATATTTGATTTATTTAATATAGTTAATCATAAAATTATGATATTGCATTTTAGTGTTTTTATTCATTTTGAGGAATACTGGATGTTTTCGTGTAGGCGATATGAGTAAATGCATGTTCACGTTTAGTAGAGCTGGACCAGAATATTCGGATATTCGTTCGGTGGGTTGGTATTCAATTTGAAAATGTGACATTCGAATAATCGTTCTTTTTTTCTTTTCTTTTTTTTTACACACCTGGCATCCCACTCGAAACGGTTCTCATTCGCACTTGAATATGTTTTATAGTATAAAATCTGGTGAAATATAAAACTTAACATACTGTATATCTTCGTCATATAGCTAATTAATAAATATATTTGCTTCTTCTTGGGCTACTAAAAGTGTTCCTGCAACGGTCTCCGGCTAGAGCGCAAAACAGCGCAGAACATCGATGTTCATTACTACCGAAGCTTCGAATATTTGATGTTTATTACTACCGAAGCTTCGAATATTCGACGTTCATGACTACCGAAGCTTCGAATATTCGACGTTCATTACTACCGAAGCTTCGAATATTCGACGTTCATTACTACCGAAGCTTCGAATATTCGACGTTCATGACTACCGAAGCTTCGAATATTCGACGTTCATTACAACCGAAGCTTCGAATATTCGACGTTCATGACTACCGAAGCTTCGAATATTCGACGTTCATGACTACCGAAGCTTCGAATATTCGACGTTCATTACTACCGAAGCTTCGAATATTCGACGTTCATTACTACCGAAGCTTCGAATATTCGACGTTCATTACTACCGAAGCTTCGAATATTCGACGTTCATTACTACCGAAGCTTCGAATATTCGACGTTCATTACTACCGAAGCTTCGAATATTCGACGTTCATGACTACCGAAGCTTCGAATATTCGACGTTCATGACTACCGAAGCTTCGAATATTCGACGTTCATTACTACCGAAGCTTCGAATATTCGACGTTCATTACTACCGAAGCTTCGAATATTCGACGTTCATTACTACCGAAGCTTCGAATATTCGACATTCATGACTACCGAAGCTTCGAATATTCGACGTTCATTACTACCGAAGCTTCGAATATTCGACGTTCATTACTACCGAAGCTTCGAATATTCGACGTTCATTACTACCGAAGCTTCGAATATTCGACGTTCATTACTACCGAAGCTTTGAATATTCGTCGTTCATTACTACCGAAGCTTCGAATATTTGACGTTCATTACTACCGAAGCTTCGAATATTCGACGTTCATGACTACTGAAGCTTCGAATATTCGACGTTCATTACTACCGAAGCTTCGAATATTCGACGTTCATTACTACCGAAGCTTCGAATATTCGACGTTTATTACTACCGAAGCTTCGACGTTTATTACTACCGAAGCTTCGAATATTTGCCGTTCATTACTACCGAAGCTTCGAATATTCGACGTTCATTACTACCGAAGCTTCGAATATTCGACGTTCATTACTACCGAAGCTTCGAATATTCGACGTTCATTACTACCGAAGCTTCGAATATTCGACGTTCATTACTACCGAAGCTTCGAATATTCGACGTTCATTACTACTGAAGATTCGAATATTCGACGTTCATGACTACCGAAGCTTCGAATATTCGACGTTCATTACTACCGAAGCTTCGAATATTCGACGTTCATTACTACCGAAGCTTCGAATATTCGACGTTCATTACTACCGAAGCTTCGAATATTCGACGTTCATTACTACCGAAGCTTTGAATATTCGTCGTTCATTACTACCGAAGCTTCGAATATTTGACGTTCATTACTACCGAAGCTTCGAATATTCGACGTTCATTACTACCGAAGCTTTGAATATTCGTCGTTCATTACTACCGAAGCTTCGAATATTTGACGTTCATTACTACCGAAGCTTCGAATATTCGACGTTCATGACTACTGAAGCTTCGAATATTCGACGTTCATTACTACCGAAGCTTAGAATATTCGACGTTCATTACTACCGAAGCTTCGAATATTCGACGTTCATTACTACCGAAGCTTTGAATATTCGACGTTCATTACTACCGAAGCTTCGAATATTTGACGTTCATTACTACCGAAGCTTCGAATATTCGACGTTCATGACTACTGAAGCTTCGAATATTCGACGTTCATTACTACCGAAGCTTCGAATATTCGACGTTCATTACTACCGAAGCTTCGAATATTCGACGTTTATTACTACCGAAGCTTCGAATATTTGCCGTTCATTACTACCGAAGCTTCGAATATTCGACGTTCATGACTACCGAAGCTTCGAATATTCGACGTTCATTACTACCGAAGCTTCGAATATTCGACGTTCATTATTGCCGAAGCTTCGAATATTCGACGTTCATTACTGCGAAGCTTCGAATATTCGACGTTCATTACTACCGAAGCTTCGAATATTCGACGTTCATTACTACCGAAGCTTCGAATATTCGACGTTCATGACTACCGAAGCTTCGAATATTCGACGTTCATGACTACCGAAGCTTCGAATATTCGACGTTCATTACTACCGAAGCTTCGAATATTCGACGTTTATTACTACCGAAGCTTCGAATATTCGACGTTCATTACTACCGAAGCTTCGAATATTCGACGTTCATTACTACCGAAGCTTCGAATATTCGACGTTCATTACTACCGAAGCTTCGAAGCTCAAAAAATGGTATTTGGACCAGCCCTAATGTTTAGTCTCTAGAACTAAAAAAACCATCATGTTTACACAGCGCACACACACCGCACACAACACCTCCTTGCTTTATTTCTCTCAACATACAGGAGAGATGTCAGTCTATAAATGTGGAAAACTTAGATATTTTGTTGTAAATTGATAAAGTAATGCATTACTTTGCTAGTTACTTGAAAAAGTTACTTGTAATGTCTTACCCCCAACACTGTTTGCAAGACTAATCTCTTTTTTTTCTAGCCGACAAGCAGGTAAAAAGTCGACTTGTCAATATTCAGCTGATGATTTACAGTGTGTGTTATGATGAGCGATTCCTTTTACTTGTACACGCGTCTGCACTGATGTAAACCGTCCAGCAGGGCATTGATATAAACACAGCTGCATATATGTGAAGTGAATTCAAACAGACAAGACAAAATTATCAGATTCGTGTCTGGATGTCAAACCTGTGCATTAGGTTAGCAGTGTAAGAGAAATACACATTGCAGTCTGCAACACAGATACACTCACACACACCATGAGGAAGCCGTTTAATGAGGAGACCTGGGCTAATAAACACAGATGCTGAGTGTGTGCATGTACCTGCATGTCTGTGAAATTGGGAGCTGACTGAGTCCTTTGTAGGATCTCCAGACTTTGCAGCAGTTGATTCAACTCTAATAGACTAGATTGGCAGTAGGCGAGCTCTGGAACACACAAACACACACACCGATGAGACTCAAATGTAGTTTTTGTAAATAAGACAGAGGATCAGTCTTAAGGAACAGTCTTGCGCAAAATTAAAAACACAGATCTGAATCAATGTCATTAAGGAGTTACATCATGTGGGTGTTTGAATGTATTTTTACAATTAATCACACAGGTCTAAATATATTAATAATTATTAAACAAATACAATATACAGTATATATATATATATGGAGGTAAAATGTGACAGCCATCTTCATGACAGGTTTAGTGAGATGAGCCATATAATTAAACCCTAATTATTCAGAATGAATTGTGTGTTACCTTCTGCACACTTGTCCATCTCCTCTGACTCCTTTAACCAGGCCGCCACTTTACTCTGTCCATTACTGCAGGATGGAGGCAGGTGCCAGGGGAGACTGGTGGGCTTACCCTGCTGAACACACACACACACACACATACATGTGTTTGTTTGTTTTTTCCCTTATTGGAAACAAAATTAGGAATGGATAAGACTCATAAGCAGAATCGAAATTGGTATCGTAATCGTTAAAATTCAAACGATGGCGTTTACATGCCAGAAAGAAGCCAGACCTGAACGGGAATAAATTGTGTGCAATAAGATCAGGAATATGTATGACAAATAAAGCTTAATATTCATGCTGACTTCTAATGAAGTTTACAGGTGAAACTCGAGAAATTAGAATATCGAGTAAAAGTTCATTTATTTCAGTATTCAGTCCCTCCAGAATAACATGATTATTATAAGCCATAATCATCAAAAGTATAACAAATAAAGGCTTGAAATATCTTACTTTGCATTTAATGAGTCTATATAATATATCAGTTTCACATTTTAAAGGGTTAGTTCACCCAAAAATGAAAATTCTGTCAGTATTTACTCACCCTCATGTTGTTCCAACCCAGTAAGACCTTTGTTCATCTTCGGAACACAAATTAAGATATTTAAGATATTAAGATCGCTCCTGCATACAGTCCATAGGCTTCTTGAGGGAATGACTCTTGCTGTCCCCGAAAAGTCATTAAAGACATCGTTAAAATAGTCCAAGTAACTACAGGGGCTCAATCTTAAGTTTATCAAACGACGAGAACACTTTTGTGCGCAAAAAAACAACAAAAATAACGACTTTATTTCAACTATTCGTTTATTTCTACCTCTGCGCGAGTCAGGTTACTAGTTTAATAGCGTAAGCTTCTGTTATTGTATGTCACACGCATCACACACACATGACCCGCGTCGGCCAATAGTGAGCCTACGTGTGACGTAGCTCTACGCAATCACACTACGTTAACTGACTACAGGCCCGTGGAGAAGAAAGTGAATAGTTGAAATAAAGTCGTTATTTTTGTTGTTTTTTTGCGCACAAAAGTGTTCTCGTCGTTTGATAAACTTAAGATTGAGCCCCTGTAGTCACTTGGACTATTTTAACGATGTCTTTAATGACTTTTCGAGGACAGCAAGAGCCAGTCCCTCAAGAAGCCTATGGACTGTATGCAGGAGCGATCTTAATATCTTAAATATCTTAATTTGTGTTCCGAAGATGAACAAAGGTCTTACGGGGTTGGAACAACATGAGGGTGAGTAAATACTGACAGAATTTTCATTTTTGGGTGAACTAACCCTTTAAGTTGAATTACTGAACTTTTGCAGGATATTGTAATTTTTTGAGTGTCACCTGTAATTACATCAGACAATCCCTAAAGGATGCGGGGCACAGAAACAGAGGGGTCGTGACCTTGCTTTGGTGTGTGCTGGAGGGGGTGTTTTGCGGAGATTCTGCGCCGGCCGACGGAGGGAACGTCCGCAGCGTGACGTCCCGAGGAGAGCGGACGATCTCGTTCTGACGGAACAAGCGATGGTGACGCAGCTTGCACACCCAGAGGTCAAACACATCTGGAGACTTCACCTTGGAGGAGACAGACAGGTCACAGCATCCACAACAGCTTTACACCACAGAAAGAAGATTAAAAGGAATAAACCCCAGACACGTAAGAGTGCCTGAAGTTGAAGAAACACCGGTTCTCTCCGCAATATTTCAGTGAACGCAGTCACACACACACCTTCAGATGGTAGATGTGCTCTTCTGTGTCCAGGTCTATGCGGCGAGCTCTTTTCTTGATAGACATCACAGACAGACCCACATCTATACAGCCATGGAGCTTCCCTTTCTGAATCTGACACACACACACACTGACATTTAACCATCATACATCATATCATATATATTTATTTTTTATGCAGTATGTCCCAGACATTTCTTTTCAGAGAGTCAGACTGGTTTTCTGACATTTCCCTTCTGTTAATAAAATAAAAGACGTAGGGTTATTAAGGGGCAGAGAACACACCTTTCCAAAAGCACTCTGGGTCTCTCCCACACACAAACACACTCTGGCACACACACACTCTCACACTTAGACACTCTCAAACACACACACACAAAGTAGCACACACAAACACACACACAAACATGTACACAGTCACTCCCACACTCATAAACACACACAAACACACACTCTCTGTCCTGGTTGCATCAGTGCTCAGAGATGTTTCTGCTGTTGAGTCTGAGTCACGCTACAGCGAGAGCTGACAGCCAATCACAGCGGAGCGTCTCTGTGACCTACACAACTCATCATCATTCAGAGCAGCGCGGCTCGCAGGAAGTGCTCGATGCAGCGTTCACAACCCACACACTCACAACCCCGAACACACTCACAACTTCAACCCCGAACACACTCACAACTTCAACCCCGAACACACTCACAACCCCGAACACACTCACAACTTCAACCCCGAACACACTCACAACTTCAACCCCGAACACACTCACAACCCTGAACACACTCACAACTTCAACCCCGAACACACTCACAACCCCGAACACACTCACAACCCCGAACACACTCACAACCCCCAACACACTCACAACTTCAACCCCGAACACACTCACAACTTCAACCCCGAACACACTCACAACTTCAACCCCGAACACACTCACAACCCGAACACACTCACAACTTCAACCCCGAACACACTCACAACCCCGAACACACTCACAACCCCCAACACACTCACAACTTCAACCCCGAACACACTCACAACTTCAACCCCGAACACACTCACAACTTCAACCCCGAACACACTCACAACCCCGAACACACTCACAACTTCAACCCCGAACACACTCACAACCCCGAACACACTCACAACTTCAACCCCGAACACACTCACAAACCCGAACACACTCACGTCCCCGAACACACTCACAACTTCAACCCCGAACACATTCACAACTTCAACCCCGAACACACTCACAACCCCGAACACACTCACAACTTCAACCCCGAACACACTCACAACTTCAACCCCGAACACACTCACAACTTCAACCCCGAACACACTCACAACCCCGAACACACTCACAACTTCAACCCCGAACACACTCACAACTTCAACCCCGAACACACTCACAAACCCGAACACACTCACGTCCCCGAACACACTCACAACTTCAACCCCGAACACACTCACAACTTCAACCCCGAACACACTCACAAACCCGAACACACTCACGTCCCCGAACACACTCACAACTTCAACCCCGAACACACTCAAAACTTCAACCCCGAACACACTCACAAACCCGAACACACTCACGTCCCCGAACACACTCACAACTTCAACCCCGAACACACTCACAACTTCAACCCCGAACACACTCACAAACCCGAACACACTCACGTCCCCGAACACACTCACAACTTCAACCCCGAACACACTCACAACTTCAACCACGAACACACTCACAACTTCAACCCCGAACACACTCACAAACCCGAACACACTCACGTCCCCGAACACACTCACAACTTCAACCCGAACACACTCACAACTTCAACCCCGAACACACTCACAAACCCGAACACACTCACGTCCCCGAACACACTCACAACTTCAACCCCGAACACACTCACAACTTCAACCCCGAACACACTCACAACCCCGAACACACTCACGTCCCCGAACACACTCACAACTTCAACCCCGAACACACTCACAAACCCGAACACACTCACGTCCCCGAACACACTCACAACTTCAACCCCGAACACACTCACAACCCCGAACACACTCACGTCCCCGAACACACTCACAACTTCAACCCCGAACACATTCACAACTTCAACCCCGAACACACTCACAACTTCAACCCCGAACACACTCACAACTTCAACCCCGAACACACTCACAAACCCGAACACACTCACAAACCCGAACACACTCACGTCCCCGAACACACTCACAACCCTGAACACACTCACAACTTCAACCCCGAACACACTCACAACCCCGAACACACTCACAACTTCAACCCCGAACACACTCACAACTTCAACCCCGAACACACTCACAACTTCAACCCCGAACACACTCACAACCCCGAACACACTCACGTCCCCGAACACACTCACAACTTCAACCCCGAACACACTCACAAACCCGAACACACTCACGTCCCCGAACACACTCACAACTTCAACCCCGAACACACTCACAACCCCGAACACACTCACGTCCCCGAACACACTCACAACTTCAACCCCGAACACATTCACAACTTCAACCCCGAACACACTCACAACTTCAACCCCGAACACACTCACAACTTCAACCCCGAACACACTCACAAACCCGAACACACTCACAAACCCGAACACACTCACGTCCCCGAACACACTCACAACTTCAAGCCCGAACACACTCACAAACCCCGAACACACTCACAACTTCAACCCCGAACACACTCACAACTTCAACCCCGGACACACTCACAACTTCAACCCCGAACACACTCACAACCCCGAACACACTCACGTCCCCGAACACACTCACAACTTCAACCCCGAACACACTCACAACTTCAACCCCGAACACACTCACAACCCCGAACACACTCACGTCCCCGAACACACTCACAACTTCAACCCCGAACACACTCACAAACCCGAACACACTCACGTCCCCGAACACACTCACAACTTCAACCCCGAACACACTCACAACCCCGAACACACTCACGTCCCCGAACACACTCACAACTTCAACCCCGAACACACTCACAACTTCAACCCCGAACACACTCACAACCCCGAACACACTCACAACTTCAACCCCGAACACACTCACAACCCCGAACACACTCACAACTTCAACCCCGAACACACTCACAACCCCGAACACACTCACAACTTCAACCCCGAACACACTCACAAACCCGAACACACTCACGTCCCCGAACACACTCACAACTTCAACCCCGAACACATTCACAACTTCAACCCCGAACACACTCACAACCCCGAACACACTCACAACTTCAACCCCGAACACACTCACAACTTCAACCCCGAACACACTCACAACTTCAACCCCGAACACACTCACAACCCCGAACACACTCACAACTTCAACCCCGAACACACTCACAACTTCAACCCCGAACACACTCACAACTTCAACCCCGAACACACTCACAAACCCGAACACACTCACGTCCCCGAACACACTCACAACTTCAACCCCGAACACACTCACAACTTCAACCCCGAACACACTCACAAACCCGAACACACTCACGTCCCCGAACACACTCACAACTTCAACCCCGAACACACTCAAAACTTCAACCCCGAACACACTCACAAACCCGAACACACTCACGTCCCCGAACACACTCACAACTTCAACCCCGAACACACTCACAACTTCAACCCCGAACACACTCACAAACCCGAACACACTCACGTCCCCGAACACACTCACAACTTCAACCCCGAACACACTCACAACTTCAACCACGAACACACTCACAACTTCAACCCCGAACACACTCACAAACCCGAACACACTCACGTCCCCGAACACACTCACAACTTCAACCCCGAACACACTCACAACTTCAACCCCGAACACACTCACAAACCCGAACACACTCACGTCCCCGAACACACTCACAACTTCAACCCCGAACACACTCACAACTTCAACCCCGAACACACTCACAACCCCGAACACACTCACGTCCCCGAACACACTCACAACTTCAACCCCGAACACACTCACAAACCCGAACACACTCACGTCCCCGAACACACTCACAACTTCAACCCCGAACACACTCACAACCCCGAACACACTCACGTCCCCGAACACACTCACAACTTCAACCCCGAACACATTCACAACTTCAACCCCGAACACACTCACAACTTCAACCCCGAACACACTCACAACTTCAACCCCGAACACACTCACAAACCCGAACACACTCACAAACCCGAACACACTCACGTCCCCGAACACACTCACAACCCTGAACACACTCACAACTTCAACCCCGAACACACTCACAACCCCGAACACACTCACAACTTCAACCCCGAACACACTCACAACTTCAACCCCGAACACACTCACAACTTCAACCCCGAACACACTCACAACCCCGAACACACTCACGTCCCCGAACACACTCACAACTTCAACCCCGAACACACTCACAAACCCGAATACACTCACGTCCCCGAACACACTCACAACTTCAACCCCGAACACACTCACAACCCCGAACACACTCACGTCCCCGAACACACTCACAACTTCAACCCCGAACACATTCACAACTTCAACCCCGAACACACTCACAACTTCAACCCCGAACACACTCACAACTTCAACCCCGAACACACTCACAAACCCGAACACACTCACAAACCCGAACACACTCACGTCCCCGAACACACTCACAACTTCAAGCCCGAACACACTCACAAACCCCGAACACACTCACAACTTCAACCCCGAACACACTCACAACTTCAACCCCGGACACACTCACAACTTCAACCCCGAACACACTCACAACCCCGAACACACTCACGTCCCCGAACACACTCACAACTTCAACCCCGAACACACTCACAACTTCAACCCCGAACACACTCACAACCCCGAACACACTCACGTCCCCGAACACACTCACAACTTCAACCCCGAACACACTCACAAACCCGAACACACTCACGTCCCCGAACACACTCACAACTTCAACCCCGAACACACTCACAACCCCGAACACACTCACGTCCCCGAACACACTCACAACTTCAACCCCGAACACACTCACAACTTCAACCCCGAACACACTCACAACCCCGAACACACTCACAACTTCAACCCCGAACACACTCACAACCCCGAACACACTCACAACTTCAACCCCGAACACACTCACAACTTCAACCCCGAACACACTCACAACTTCAAGCCCGAACACACTCACAACCCCGAACACACTCACAACTTCAACCCCGAACACACTCACAACCCTGAACACACTCACAACTTCAACCCCGAACACACTCACAACCCCGAACACACTCACAACTTCAACCCCGAACACACTCACAACTTCAACCCCGAACACACTCACAACCCCGAACACACTCACAACTTCAACCCCGAACACACTCACAACTTCAACCCCGAACACACTCACAACCCCTAACACACTCACAACTTCAACCCCGAACACACTCACAAACCCGAACACACTCACGTCCCCGAACACACTCACAACTTCAACCCCGAACACACTCACAACCCCGAACACACTCACAACTTCAACCCCAAACACACTCACAAACCCGAACACACTCACAACTTCAACCCCGAACACACTCACAAACCCGAACACACTCACAAACCCGAACACACTCACGTCCCCGAACACACTCACGTCCACGGGAGACTTGGAGTACTTCAGGATCCCGTTATCCAGAACGAAAAACCGCTGTGCAGAAGACAGAAGGAAACAGAATTAGTCCAATGAATATTTACTGTAATACATATAATAATATGTTTATAAAGGGGAATAAAGGGTGAAATATAAGAAAAATAAACCAATGGAAATTTAAATATTATTAATATTCAAACAAATAAGCTCTTTATTGGTCATTAAAACCAATGATAAACACAGGGTTCAAACAAATTCAGTAAAATGAAATTTCATTTTCAAGCAGTTCTTTTTTTTAGATTTCAAGGACAACAATTAGCATTTATCCAACAATATATTTATTATTTTTATTTATTTTATTTGTTTGTTTTTTGTAACTCAAATTACATATATATATAGTATCTGATGTTTCAAGATCAATCCATTGACCAGTGCTGTCAGGCATGGCAAATCCCCTTAACCATTGAAACGATACTATGACAAAGACATCGACTTCCTTATTCAAACTGATTTTTTCCATGAATATATGATTGACCTGAAGAATGAAAGTTGTATGATACACTAATCATGAAACTTAACGTGATGTGAAATAGCTCTATATCTCCGACGGGCTGCAGCATTAATTTTATGTAAAAAGATAGTGGGGAGGTTTTTTTCTCCGAAAAAATGTAACACTAATTTTGTGTATTTCAATAATTCAAGCACTTTTCAAGTTCCTCTTCAAAAATATGGCTCTTTTCTTCGGATACCGGAGGAAATGGGATTGTTACATACAAAAAAAATAATAATTAATAAAAAGACCTCATGTATTAAATGGTTGTGTTCTTGTTGTTAATTTTTTTCTTTACTTATTTTTTTTCTTTACTTTTTTCCCCTCCTTGATGTGTACAAAAAAAGGAAAAACTGTTAAACAGTTTTCAAGGGTTTTCCAGGACTTTAAAGGAGTAGTTCACTTTTAAAAAAAAAACTTTTGCTGATAATTTACTCGCCCCCATGTCAACCAAGATGTCCATGTGTTTCTTTCTTCAGTCGAAAAGAAATTTAAGTTTTTGATGAAAACATTCCAGCATTTTTCTCCATATAATGGACTTCAATGGGAACCAAACGGTTCAAGGTTCAAATGAGAGTTTTAGTGCAAACTACAAACTGTTCAAAGGGCTTTAAACGACACCAGACGATGAATAAGGGTCTTATCAAGCGAAACGATCGCTCATTTCAAAAATAAATAAAGAACTTATTCTCACCTCTATGTAGGGGGTAGGAAGTAGAGCACTATATAGTGAGCTCATCAGCATAATAGAAACACCACTTTCGGACACTACTCTCTCGTCTCTGGGCTAAATAGATTTTTTTAAAATAAATACATTACATTATATTGAGCTTATTTCTCCAAAATTTAAAAACACAAGATTGGAACTTATATTTACGATCACAACAATGCATGATGGTATGTAGGGCTTAGGTTAGTCACCATCGGTTGTACACTACTTTTCAAAATGCATTCTGGGATGCATTGAGTGGACTATATAGGGTACAATAATCATCACTATACATTCGGACAGCCCTACAAAATGACGACCTCACTAATAGACCACTATATAGTGAGTAGTGGGTGATTTCGGACACAGCCATGGACATCTTGGATGACATGGGGGTGAATAAATTACTCCTTTAAGTTACTCCTTTAACTACTAAACTACTCCTTTAAGTTTCAAAAAGTCACATTCAACACTTTAAACACCTTGTACGAACCCTGTAAACAGATTGCTGGTCTTAAGTGGTTTAAGCTGGTCTCCCAGCCTGGAAAACTCCCAAACTCACTAAAACCAGTGAATCAGAGCAGCGGGATCAGACTGGTTTGTTGGTTTTCGTCTCTCACCTTGTGCCAGCCCTTCAGGGGCCATTTCCTCCGCTTCAGCATGAAGCCCTCGTGCTTCTCTGGCCTCTGCACATGAGTCTGCCCGATCCTCAGGCCCTCGATGATCTCCCAGCTATCCGTCTCCTACACAGGGACACCATCACATATAAGAAAACCAAACCAGTGGAAATGTAAGAGCCATTAACGTCCAACAAACAGCTCTAAATCATTCATAAACACCAATAATAAACATGAGACAGGCATATTGAGAGTTAGAATGAATGAATGAATATAATATAATATGAATATCATGTAGTCCCATTACGACATGAAGTGTTTAAAAATTCTGCTATACATTTATCGCAGTGGTGGTTTATGAGATGCTTTGTTGATTGCTCAAGATGATTGTATGATTGTGTGAATACGATGCTCTAACTTTTGGAAACTGCGGTATGAGAATAATTTCTGTTTTGACTGAAGTGACACTGAGTGCTTTAGAGAAACAAAAACCTAAAAGAGTAATATAAGACTTAAAGAAATCATTTATGTTATGTTAAAATGGTTGGGTAACTGTGTGCAGTTCTGTAATGAGTGATAGATTAATTTCATGATTTAGCAGTCAATATTAGTTTGCGAAAAAACCTAAAAAATTAAAAAGAATAAAAAAATGCTTTTAGATCGAAAGTGTTTACAGCTAATTACAGACTGATCAAAAAGCCAAACTCATTAGAAACATCATTAAACAGACCTCAGACCAGTGAGGCTTGACTGAGTGAACGCATTACCTAGAAACACACAAAGCATGAGTTGGGAGAAAAGATTTGATTTTATAGCATACAATTTTAGAAGAAACATGCATGTTTAACAATCGACATGGTCCCTTACAAATGAATAAAAGTAAATAGAATAAATAAATAAGCAAAATGCCATTTTAAAATCTCATCACTAAACATTACATCAAATAGCAAAAGAACTGTTTCTTTATATATTAAATAATTGGCATGAATAATTTAACTGTAAGTCAAAAAACTGTCCTTCAATTACAGTCAAAGGTTTATTTTAAGTACAAAAATGAATACTAAAATAGTTAATTTAAACTAAACTTAGTAGTAGTTTATTGAGATTAGACTTCAAAGTGCAAAACTAAAAAAGAAGTATTTAGAGAGTAAATTAGTGTTGCTCACCGTGTAGTTGCAATACAAAAGAAAAACTTGGATGTAAACTATAGTTTACACTTAAAATACGAGTAAAAGTATACTTTTATAAACTAAAAAGTGGGCCAAGAAGAACTTAAATGGTACACATACAAGTACACTGGTACAGGGATGTTTGTATACTTGCTACATAAACTGCACTCAGAATATATACCTGGACGTTACCGACGTTTACTTAAAGTCACCATGAAATCAAAATTGACGATTCTTATTTTTTATAGAATACTGCAGTAATTATTATAAAAGATTTATCCATGTGCACTATTTTCTTGAAATCCATGTTCTTCAGCATCTCTTCTCTTCTCTGAGGATGAGGGCGGAGCTACCCGTCACTCACATTAGATCCACCAATAGCAAGCCACAACCATCCAATCAATTCCACACAGAATAAATCAAGCCCCGCCCACATTTGTTCTTGTTCGTAAAGCCCATGTTCGTCACAATAAGGAAGTTCCTACTTTCGTTTCATGATGACTTTAATGAAATGAACTTGAAGTATATTTCTTTTTTTGTATGGGTAAATGTACGCATCAGAATGGTGATGGCTGCTTTAGAAACAACGCTCATTAGTTCATGTTAATAATATCTATAATAGTTATAATAGTTTATTTGTCCTCTTCCTGAAGTATAATAATCAGTATTTATCTGTATTGACCAGTTGTGTCACATTTTGTAGCGACTACTCTTTCTATCAATTCAAACCTTTTTTTGTTTTGTCAGCAAAAGTATTGGATAATAGGCGAATAAGATAAAATAAACGTAAATGATGACTACAAAGTCTATTTCGAATGTTTATGAATTCCTGAATGAGTTTGTGAAGACTTGAATGAGCTCCTGCTTTGTTGAAATTCAATCTATTTGAGTAATTTCATTGATTTAGCAGCCCGTTCCTGTCTAAGTGGGTAGTTCTTCTTTGTAACTGGCTTTAACATATTTTATGGTCATAGTTAACAGCCTTGCTTTAAACAACCACGTCAGCTGAGAGGAATGAGACCATCTAGTGATTCATATTGGAGCTTTGTTGATGTGTTTTTTAATCCTTGTGGACAAAACAATGGGAAAATATTTCCTGAACAACTCTGAAAAAGTGAGCGGTCTCTAGGGGCTTTCGCACCGGAGGAACCTTTTCATAGTTCCTACAACTATTGCTGGAAGTGCCTGGATTTTCGCAGGAACTGGGAACGATTCGGTTCTAGGAACTCCTTTTGGAGGAAATAATTGAGCTCCTACTTCAGAGTAGGTCTAAACTAGCACTATAGGAAATACCAGTGACGTTAGTTTGATTGGCCGAACGCACGTGAAACACCATTACCCTCCATTTAAAACAAAAGCTTCCAATTTAAAACACACAGATTATAGCCTATATATTTACTCCACAAACTAACTCTACGAGCATGGAAAGCAGTGATGGATGAAGCTCTTAACCTTTACGCTGAAGGACAAAATCCAACGCAACTTTGAGGTGACCAAGACAAACATGATTATGTATTTCTGCTCAGCTAGCAACATTACGGTCTACTTTCTATGTATAACCGTTCTATCAAATATCGCATTAGACAGGACTGTTGGACAGATCGTAAACTAATGAACACAGAGAATGCGAGCACTGTTTGTTTACTCTAGCGTTCCCGAGTCACAAAAACAAGCTTGGCTTACGTCACTTCAGAGTTTCTACTGGCGGAGCGAATGCAACCAGAATGCAACCATTAGTTCTCGGAGAACCATCCTGGTGGCTCGTTCTTATAACTATAGCCGCCTTTACACTGGATACGACAAACAACAGCCATCGGACTGGAAGTCGTCCATTTCCAATGGGGAGTCCTACGGGAGCTGCGTGGAGTTCTGATCATATGTGTATACGGAAATTTCGGATGCGTTGAAATAACTTCTGCGGCTATACCGTATGCGACCGGCCGACCGGATGTGACGAATTCTAATCAAAACTATGAGCGTGAAGCTGGAATTACGAATATTTTAACACTTTAACGTTATTCTGTAGTCGCTATTCCTGCAAAATGGCAGTTATTAATAATTATGGCAGAAATAATTATTTTATAATTACTGAATCAATATTTATGTTGATTAGCTCTATAAAATCTACTATGTTTGTATTTCAGATGTATTGAGGGTCATTTGTTTTGTGTGGATATATTCATCCATGCATTACATTCATTAAAATGATTAATTTTACAATGGCGAATAAGCCGAGGGTAATAAACAATTGACCCTTCGCAGGGAGTTTGATTGACAGGCGATATGACCAATCATAATCCGGCATCCGCCGAATCCGACGTTTAGTCCGATAAAGCAGTCAGGAGAGTTAGTAGATAGCTTGTGTTATAAAGAAATGAACTGAAATGAAAATACCGTCGGTGGCCTTGAAACTGGAAAAACAGTGTGCACTGACGTCTTTCCGCGGTTGAAACAACATTCCTTCTGATGTTCATTCATGTTTATTTGATGCTTTAAATGAGCAAGAAGGAAGAGATGATCGGGTCACGAGCAGCTTTAACAGCTGTACAGTGATCAGTCAGACACATTCAAGAGCCACAAAACGGCATTTTTTGTTTAAATTTCTTTAAAAAAAATGACCAAATTTGAAAGTTGAGACTTTGCTTCATTATAAAGTATCTTGCTTTGTCATATCGGTCGACGTGTTGTCAGTGTCTCTGCGTGATAACATGATGTGTGGCGTGAGAGGGACGTGGCTTGTACATCAGTCACTAAAGGGGTCTTTGCGAACACTCACTAAAGGGGGCGGGGTCTTTGTGAACACTCACTAAAAGGGGGTGGGTCTTTGTGAACGCTCACTAAAGGGGGCGGGGTCTTTGCGAACAGTCACTAAAGGGGGTGGGTCTTTGCGAACAGTCACCAAAGGCGGCGGGGTCTTTGTGAACACTCACTAAAGGGGGCGGGGTCTTTGCGAACAGTCACTAAAGGGGGCGGGGTCTTTGCGAACAGTCACTAAAGGGGGCGGGGTCTTTGTGAACACTCACTAAAGGGGGTGGGTCTTTGTGAACACTCACTAAAGAGGGTGGGTCTTTGGGAACACTCACTAAAGGGGGCGGGGTCTTTGCGCACACTCACTAAAGGGGGCGGGGTCTTTGCGAACACTCACTAGAGGGGGTGGGTCTTAGTGAACACTCACTAAAGAGGGCGGGGTCTTTGCGAACAGTCACTAAAGGGGGCGGGGTCTTTGCGAACACTCACTAAAGGGGGTGGGTCTTTGGGAACACTCACTAAAAGGGGGCGGGGTCTTTGCGAACAGTCACTAAAGGGGGTGGGTCTTTTGGAACACTCACTAAAGGGGGCGGGGTCTTTGTGAACACTCACTAAAGGGGGCGGGGTCTTTGCAAACAGTCACTAAAGGGGGTGGGTCTTTGCGAACAGTCACTAAAGGGGGCGGGGTCTTTGTGAACACTCACTAAAGGGGGGGGGGTCTTTGCGAACGCTCAATTTCAAAGATCTGTTTGACTGCCGTTACGAGGCGAAATGCGTCAATCATATGCGAATGCAAATGTCGTGTGCAGTGGAAAGTGCGAAGTCGGTCTCACCTGTCGACTGTCTCTCTGAGACGAAGAGGAGGAGGACGCGCTCTTGTGGGTGGGGGTGGAGCTTTTGTGTAAAGGGGTGCAGCTCTTGTGGATGGGCGTGGCCCCCTTCTCCTCCAGGCTGGTGGCTCGGCTGTGATGACGAGACATGATAGCGGCTGCTGTCCACCTTCTGCTCTCTCTCAACCTTTTTATTTAGTGTCTCTTCTTGTCCCTCCAAAGCACAGCATGACCTTTGAATCCCTGTGCAGCCAAACGATTTCACCTGAAACACAAACGGTGGAGGAAATGAGAGTTAGTACCATGGTGACAGAGAGGTCAAAGAGGTCATGGGTTTAAAGATGACAAATGTATCGTGGTTCAGTTTATATATTGGCTTTATGGTCACGGTTTCAATTCATTAAAGATTTTATGTTGCAATCTCTGATGCACCAGATAGGAAATATGATGCAATAACACTGTATTGAATTTCTTTAGCTACAATTATAATATAATTATAAAACACATTTAAAGTCCCCATGTGGTGAAAATCCAGCTTTTAATGTTGTTTATGTGTCTATGTGGTGTTTTTAATAAGCTTTAAGACAAATCATGTGTAAATTCATAAGTCGACAGCATTGCTGAGTATTTCCACCTTAAAACTGCAGTGAACTAAAGACAGTCTCAAAAACACGGTTTGATATCGCTGGTGTTTCTGACGTCACAAACAACCTCGTAACCAATCAGATCAATGTGTGATCGTCAACCGATCGAGTGAGTGGAGGCGGGGCTCATTTGTATATTCATAGAACCGCACATACTAAATGAGGCAAGGGTGTCGAGTTACATTCAAGCAATTTTTTTTAAGAATAAAAGGATTTAAATATGTCATTTTGGTGATCAAAGATGAGTTTTAAGGGATAAAGTTATTGACTAAAGGGGGACTTTAAATGAAATCCATTTAACATGGCTTGGTGATATAAATTACTTATATTACAAGTAAATTATTTAAAATATATATATGTGTGTGTTTTATTCTCAAAATGTTAATTCTTGAATATGAAATAACTAATGATGACTTTCATATTATGATAATGACTTGTTCCAACTTATCGGCCTTTTCTGTCATTTATTAATAAATCAAGCATCTCGTCTAGTCTCTTCAATGTCAGGAAGTTCATATTGCCACAGCAATGAATTGCACAGCTTATAAATGAGGGTTGGAAATTCGATGATCATTGATCAGAGATCTCATCCAATCTGCATCGAGCAGAACTCGTCATGTTTTTCGCTCTGTCAGTGTCATTAAGAGACAGTCTATGGACCGGACGACAGTCCTTGAGTTACAGGCTTCACTAGGGTTGGGGATCACAAAGAATTTAACGATTCCATGAAATACTTATTTATTCCATTATTGATTCTTCTAACAGACCTACGCTCCAGTCTTCATGCAAAACAAAAACAATGATCTTTTAGTTGCATGTTTTATTGTTTCTTTTCTTAATATTATTTTTAAAATGCCATTTATAACAATGAAATTGTGTTCAAAATCAAGGTGTCAAGGTGAGGCAAGGTCAGATGACATCATCCAATCTAACAATATCATGTGACAAATATCAATTGAATTAGGTGTAGAGTGACAGAAGAGAGAAAGACAAAACTGCAGTTAAAAATTAACCAACAGCATCAAATTTAAAACAACCACGCACTGTAGCTTTGGATATAACCTGGCAACTGCTTATAAAGCCCATTATCAAAAAATAAAAAAATAAAAAATAAAAAAAACGTACCTTATGATTTTACAAAAAAACAAGAAATTACTAACTTTTGCCTAGAACAAAGTTTGAGTGATTTACTCTGCTGTCCGAAGTCACTAATAGGTGAGAATAACAAATTAAAACAAATACTTAATTAAAATTTCAATGATAGAGTAGAAGTGGAATATCTTTTCTCAACATTAGCTATACTCTTCTGAAAAAAAGTACACTTTAGCATACTTTTAAAAAGAGTATTTATTACATAAATAATATACTTTAAAAGAATATACTTAAGTGTGAATGTATTAGGACACTTAAATTATTGTTTAAACCAATTAAATTAAAATGTATTATATTTCAATGCCCCCTGAAATATTATGAAGACTTAATTATTTAATAATTTTTCCCTATATGGAAAAGCTTTTAATTTGACATTATTTTTTAAAAGTGTAGGCCTACTTAAGTCTGTTAAGGAACGGTCATGAATAGTGCTCTCTTTAAGTACACTTAAGTGGCCTTTTATTTCATTAATATTATATTGTCTACGAGTACATTTGAAGTACACTACAAATGCACATTCGATACAATTAAGAACACCTCTTTTTCATACAGGTAATTAGTCAAGTGTATTTGACTTTGTTTCATTACAAACAAAACTATATTTTGGATTTTAATTGACCATTTTTTTTTATTTGTTTGTCGTTTTTTTGGCAATCTAGGGTGTGGCCTGTGTCCCACCCACCACTACCTTACAGGACACACCCTAGTCCTAAATCCAAGTGTACTTGGGGTGAACTGCCAGGTATTAGTTGCGGATTAAATTAAATAAAAAATAAAATAAAATAAATTGTCCATAACTGTCGTAAATAATTTAGCCTACCGTATCCTAGTGTCGCACGCACACACTCGCTGTTTATCCAGCACTGGCTTTGGAATCAACAATGGCCACAGACACTTTGAGGAAGTGGTGGAGGAAGTGACGTATGCCGTAAAGCTGTCGAATTTTGTAGTTCTTTTTGTGCTCTGGTTACTATCCGAAACCCGAAGTTACATAGTGCAAGTAAAAGCGATACAGACCCCGTCAGGCTATGGCAGACATGTCATTCAACCTATTGTAAGTCGATGTACCATCTCAAGGGTCTTGGAAATATATTATGAAGCTTGAAAAACTACATAGTGTTGCTTTAATAATAGCACTGGCTTCTTCAAGAGATGCACCGTATAAATGTGCAGGTGTTTCGAGAAAGAAAGTATAATGTTTGGTGGTTTAGGACATTCTGTGAGTACAGTGAGTGACCGTCGATGTGTGTATGTTTTATAGTCTCTGCATGTGTCTTCATGAAGCAGTATTGATTAGCCATGCAGTATGAAGAGACTTTGACCAACCTAATTAGACCCAAAGGAACACACACACACACACACAGTCATCCTGATAGCTACCATTTAAGAAAAGCTGTTTCAATAGTGGGCACAGTTACAAGTGAGATAACAGGATACATCTGTACAGGCCTTCCCAACACAAACATGCTTAGCAAGCACTCTGGGGAAAACACAAACAGTACATGAACACACACATCTATAATTTAAGGGCTTCCACCCCCTCCTCCAACACATTAACTGCGCCGCGAGAGCCCGCCGAGGGGAGACGCGGGGAAACACGCATCACATGCTCAACCCGCCACATGAAGTGATAATGTTTCCGCAACAAATTTATACTCGCCATTTTCCCTCAACAGCAGCTTCACACGCTGGTAAATGAAACCTGCACTGAGCTCGCTAAAATCTTAATGATTTGACTGATACAATGAATTGCACAAACTAGTTTTATTGATCTGTTTTCCTCTTTGCTTTTAGGTCTTATCACACTTTACACCAGTGAGAAGAAAATACACACACACACACACACAGAGTGAATGAGTGAAACACATCAGATATTGTAGCAGCAGACTCTCTAGAGACTGTCCAGTAAAGTTGCATACAGCTAATTATCAGGGTTATGTCCTGTTTTATGTGTTTTAGGCCCCGTTTACACGAAAGGAAAACGCAGATATTTCCCTGCGGTTTGGCCCGTCATTTACACGAAAACCCTGTTTTTATGACAGAAAACGATTATTTCTAAAACCTCCGGCCAAAGAGGAGATTTCTGAAAACGCCGGTTAAGTATTGTCGTGTCAACTGGGAGAAACGGGGTTTTAGGTTCTCTCATGTCGATTCTGAGGATTCTGATTGGCTTGCATGGTTTTATCCTTCTCCCTACACTGCCGCCCATAGGTTTGGCATAATTATGATGGCGCTTGACAGCATATTTATGCAGGTGTGCGCACGATGTTATTATTGAAAACGGAGGCGGGGGAAATACCAGTTTCTCTAAATCCCGGCTTTGTGTAAACGTGGCCTTAAAGGGCACCTATTATGCCCCTTTTTACAAGATGTAATATTGGTCTCAGGTGTCCCCAAAATGTATTTGTGAAGTATCAGATCAAAATACCCTACAGTTAATTTATTATAACCATTTGAAAATGTCATTTTTGGGGCCTGTTTTGGTGTATACGACCTTAAATGCAAATGAGCTGCATATCCCCGCCCTGCCTTTGGATGAGGGCGTAACTTGATACCTATGGCAGTCGGTCGAAGCAGAAGGGCTGACAGAGTGAGAGACCCACTGTTTTGAATGTCATTCAGCCGAACATGTTTGAATCGGAATATATAAATAGTCTCTGATCAGACCCAGATGACGAAGAGACTCCGGCAGAATAAACACAAATATGAATGTACCAGGACGTCTCGGTATGGTTATTTTATACATTTATGTACTTATAGAGTTGTAATCACATCCCCTTTGCAATTATGGATGTGCAACACACACACACACACAGACACACACAAGCACTAACGCTGGCACAATTTTTTGAAACTACATACACATTCTGTGATAAAGTTTGCTACGTAGAAGCGAAATTACATTTATGCGAGGGACCTGTGGCGTCATGTTTAGCTTGTCGTACAGATGCTTCTGTGGCAAATGTGAGAAGATGGCTAACTTACAGGACAACAACATATATGCAGTTTTTAATACTATATCTTTAAAAATATATATATTTATAAACGTGTGGTTACACACTATACAAACAAGGTTTAAATTATATACACAGACATCCTACGATGACAACAACTTTAGATGCATTTGTTGTTGAATTGGCTGACATCGACTAAAAAGACTATTTGCTCAAAAATCATAAAATACACTTACTGTTACTGGATGTGACGGTGGATCGCAAACAGTAGATGACGATCCACTCTTGAGGATTAACTTTTAACAACAGGATTAACCCACAACAGAACATTTACGTTTCCAAGACATTACCGGCTGTCTGAAACAATGGAGGATGCTGTACAGATCACAGAGGGCGGGGTATATGCCACAACCACACTGTCAATCAAACCCCTTGCTCAATTCTACGTCACAAAGAGCTGAATCTTAGAACAGCTCGTTCTGAGACAGTGCATATGATTTATTGAGATTGTAAAA